ACTATGTTATGGATGGTGAGATACTGTACAGAAACATACCTCACCGAGCAGGCAGTGAAGACGTCGCTTCATGGAAGATGTGCGTCCCTAAGTCGCTACGAGAAACAGTGTTGGGAGAAAACCACGACGCACGGTCTGCGGGACACGTAGGAAGCCGGAGGACAATTGCACGTTTGGCAGCCCGATACTACTGGCCAGGCATGCATAGAGACGCCCGAGCCCACGTAAGAAAATGCGGCCGGGAAGATGTTGACCCAAGTGCCGGAGGAACCATGGGCCACGGTATGTGCAGACTTCGTTGGACCCCTACCAAGATCTAAGCCCGGGAACCAAATGCTGCTGGTCATGATAGACAGATTTTCGAAATGGACGGAACTGGTGCCCCTGCGCAGTGCGACAGCAGAGTCGCTCAAGAAGGCGTTTAGGGAACGCATAATCGTAAGGTACCGGGTCCCGAAGGTGGTCATAACGGATTATGGAGTGCAGTTTGCAAGCCGCATCTTTAAAGGTTTCCTGGCTGAGATGGGTATAAAGCAACAATTCACCGCACCATACACACCACAAGAGAATCCAACCGAACGAGCAAACAGAACGGTCAGGACCATGATTGCGCAATTCACAGGGCAGGACCAGAGAAACTGGACGAGACGAGACACTACAATCTGAGAAGGAGGCAATGGTCACCAGCCGTGGGCGACATAGTGTGGACCAAAAAACACCACCTGTCCAAAGCGGCTGAAGGATTCGCTGCAAAACTAGCCCCGAGGTACGATGGTCCTTACCAGGTCGTAGATTTCGCCTCTCCAGTGATCTGCAAAATTCGCCACACACAGTCGAAGAAAGAAAGGACAGTTCACGTTGGCGAGCTCAAGCAACAACAAAACGAGCAGACAGCAGAAACGTCAGATTGTCTAACGACAGGTACGAGGCGACAGGATTAGGCGTCAGGCCGAAGCGAGAGTCATCCATACGCCACACGAAAAGGACAATCAGGATAGAACAAGGACATGGATTAGGATCTCACGTTGATCCAGACTGCGAGGCCACAGGACCACGCAGAAAGGTCAACCATAAGGGTAGGGCACAAGGACGTGGATAAGGATGGATGGTGATCCCGACCGCCAGGCAACAGGATTCAGCATCGGGCAGTTGCGGAAGGGACACTTACAAAACGGCACAAGGATACGGGAAACGTGTAGGGATCCAACCGCAAGGCAACAGGTCAACCGATTACGCTACGTAGAAGAGAGTATGCGCGAAGGGAGACAAGCAACAAGTCGCGCAGTCCAGACATACACCGCAGCATCCGGAGATTTTATACGGAATGCGCCGGACGAGCTCGTCTAGATGTTACCCGAGGAAAAGGGGAGGACGGTGCAGAATCAGATCTACACCGTAGCCACCTGGTCACAAAAGACAGAATCACGCATCACACCAACATTTAATTAAAAACAAGAAAAAGAACGGGGCATGCATGGGCCGCACCAGCAACCTGAAATTCAAAGGGGGCTTCATGCAGGAAGCAGAAACTGACATCATAATACTTACCTGCTGTCCTGGTTGCAAAGTGAATGCGAAGTCCTCTCCGCACCCGCTTTCGAGAACTGCCAATATGGAGTCCGATGCAGCCGACAGAGGACGAGTGAAGGGCGAGAGACGACGAAAGGAGAGAAAAGGATGAGATGATAGATACCCGTTACTCAGCTAAATAGAGATATGCAAGCAGCAAAGCGAGATTAAACTGCGCCACCTACCGGCGGTATACAGATTTAAGCGTTATGGGCGTTAGAGTGGGCGCGACAAATTTTTTTGGATCAATCGATAGGTATTGACGAGACCAATACATTTCAGTTAAAATTTTTTATCTAGCATAAAAATTGTGGGCGTCACAGGTTTTCGCGGTTTGTGGGCGTTAAAGTGGGCGTGGCAAACTTTTTTTAAGTCAATCAATAGGTATTCATGAGAACATTACATTTCAGTTAAAATTTTTATTCTAGCATCAAAACTGTAGGAGCCACAGTTTTGGGCGGTTTGTGGGCGTTAGAGTGGGCGTGGCACTCTGCTGAAACAAACTTGCGCTGCGTAAGAAGCTCAGGAATCTGCACGCCAAATCTCAATAGCATAGCTCCCATAGTTTCCGAGATCTCAGCGTTCATCCGGACGGACAGACAGACGGACAGACTGACATGGCTAGATCGACTCGGCTAGTGATCCTGATCAAGAATATATGTACTTTGTGGGTTCGGAAACGCTTCCTACTGCCTGTTACATACTTTCCGACGAATCTAGTATACCCTTTTACTCTACGAGTAACGAGTTGCAAAATCACCACAAGCCATGGAAGGGGGCGCCTCGATAGGCGATCGATTGGCACTGGACGATAGTGCGATCGATAGGCACAGAAAATTAAAAAATCGGCACCGCACCGTCGGTATCGGTATGCGAATAAACATCGATCACGCACGAATGGTGTGACCAGGCGGAGGAAACATGGAAAAGAGTGAGACGCAGCAATGAGCAGCGAGCTGGGGATCGATAGCCCATGAGTATCGATGTCCCAGTGAAAACACGGGAAATATCGGCGCGGGGGATTTAAAGTTGCTAGGAGGAGGATGACCAGCGCTGTAGAAACTCAAGGGAGTTAAGAGCGTCGAGGGAGCAACGAGGGAGCGCCGCGGGAATCACAAGGACTCGAAGGCTAGGACATGCAAGGAAACGCCGGAGAGTAGAAACAAGTTTTAAATGTTTCCCGAAGTAAGGGGGAATGTGAGGAGTTGAATAACTCCCCACAAATAGAAGCAGCAGCAGATGGCCGGCCGCTTACCAGATACGCGGCGAATTCGCGTAGTTACGGCCCGGCGAGGAGAGTTTGGAGACTTGGACGGAGAACGAGAGAGTTAGGTGACCAAGGATGGAGAGCAAGAGAGTTTGGAGACCAAGGATGGAGATCGAGAGAGTTTGGAGACCAAGGACGGAGAGCGAGAGAGCTTGGAGACCAAGCATGGAGATCGAGAGAGAATGGAGACTTCGCGGGCAAGGCTAACGGAACTCCACCGGACTTTGGACTCTCCCGTGAACTTTGGACCGGGAGAGGAAGTGCCACATCTCGGTAGTGGAGCGGCACACAGGCGTGCCACAAGCATCTCGGGAATCAGCGGGATGGCAGCAGTGGGCGGAGCATCGATTGGAAGCGGTACGTGAAGGACAAGTGGGTCAACCAGGAGTCACGGACTTTGGACCCGGAGTGGAGAGATCCAGCGGGCCGTGCGCAAAAGGGAAATAACGGTTCCCGGAGGCCCTATATAAGGCCGCAGAGCGCTGGCAACTTGATCAGTCGATCACGAGGAGTCAAACCTTCAAGATCAGTTAAAGTACCAAGTGAACAGTCAGTCAAGCAAGTAATCTACGAGGGAGCCACAACTAAGCGAGTCGTCGGAAGCAGCGCCGTGGGAAGCTCACAAGGAGCAAGATCGCTACGTCGAGACGTTCGGGATTGGGACATCAGGAATCTCCGAATTGGAACACAAGTGGCTGAGTTCTGGAGGGCACCACGCGCCGAAGTCAAGGCGTTTGTTTTCCAACTTTGTCACGACCACACCCTGGCGAGTCGCCCGGCGGGTCTGTCAGAGACAAGAGAGAGAGAGACAAAAGAGTCCTAAGACGAAGAACCGGCAGCTTCGGGAGGAAAGTTGTCTGCGACCCAGCATACCTTGCCCGACCAAGCAGGACCTGTCGTGACGGACGAGCGGTAGATCGATTTGCGGTTTCAAGAGGCGGCCGCTTGGAGAGCCCTGCGATTACCGGCGAAGTTCCCGAACAGCAACCGCCCAACTCCCCGAGTGCCAGAACGACGAGATACTGGTCAGACGACAGCGCAGAGCGACGTCGAGAGCGACGCCAACAGACATTTCCGGCAGCCACGTTACCATCGCCGCGCGGAGCTCACGGACGTCACAGACGTCACGCATTAGGGTGAAGCCGGGTGGAACGTTCTTCTGCGCTAAGCGTAAAGCACCGTGAACTGCTAGACAGCTTCCTGGCGGCAGCCTTGACTGTCAGCGCGATCTGAGCAAGAACCTAGCGGGACCGTCCGGGACAGAGCAAGGGACAGGTATTGCCTCGAAAGGCGTCGGCCTGGAGAGCAAGGCTTGTTCACCCTAGTCTGAGAACGGTGACGCTTCCCTAAGCCCACAGGCCGAACCCTCTGCGGGTCTAAGGCGCAACAAGCGACCCCGAGGCAGCGCATCGGCAAGCAAGCAGAGGCGGCCACTACGAGCGTCCAGGAGCCAGCGGAAGCCGAGTCAGCGCGTCGAGGAGCCAGAAAGAGGAGCGCCAGTAGCCGGCGGAACCAGAGCCAGGAGATACCGAAGCCAGCCCAGCCACACACCCGCTGTACTAATACTACGAGAATAAATCCCACTATTACCATTTGAACCCTTTGTTTTCTCACTGATCTACGGGCAATCACGTCATATAAATTTGGTGGGACGAACACACAATCTTGTGAGCTAGCCGCACGAATCTCGTAGCGAGCAGACACTAAAAAATCAGTTCGTTACAATGCAGGTTGTTGCCAAATCCCATTAGCCTAGCTCGGAGAGACGGACATGGCTAGATCGACTCAGCTAATGATCCTGATCAAGAAATATATATTCTTTATGGGGTCGGAAACGCTTCCTTCTGCTTGTTACATACTTTCCGACGCATCTAGTATACCCTTTACTCTACGAGTAACGGATATAAATATATATCGTGAAAAACACGTCGATAGGGGAAGGAATTTAGTTTTCCAAAAACGTAATCAAATGTCTAAAAAAAAGTTACCCCGAACCTTTCCTCGTATGCAATCCCTGCTATTTCTGAGTGATACGATTTTATTGAGTTTTCTCTCTAAATGTAATTATTTACAGTTTAAAACGTGTTTTTAAATGACTTCAATTCGATATAATCATTTTAAAATGTAATTGAAAACTTAAAGCATTTTATATACACTTCTAAACTCGACGATTTAATTGAATTTTATTGGTTTAAATAAAAATGTTTAATTTGCTATGAAAATGTAACTAAGAACTATTTTACTATTGTTTTTATTTACACGAGCACCCGTTTTGGATATAATATACAAACGTAAGTTACGGGATCCAAAATATTTAATTTATAATTGAAAATTCTTTAAATTAATATATAAATTAGCTTTAGTTAAGTGTACCCCGACATCCTTGAGCGCCACATAGGCAAGGTATTTTTTCTTCTTCCAATGGAAACTTATAATCGTACGTAATTTCCTCGTTGATTCCAATTGGTTGCTTTGAATATATAACTATCTTCTTTTCAGACTCAATCGTAATGACCTTTGCATGGCAATTCGGCTGCAATCAGAAAAAAAGTACATTAGTAAAACAATTACTATTAGAACCACGAATTCTTACATTGCAACTGTGATTTATAAATCGTGCTAAGTTTCCACATTTAGTTGCATCGATAATAGTTTCCATGTCGATTCGAAACAAATAGGAACTGCCAATTCCAATTGCTTCGTACTTTGTTTCCCTCAGATCTGCAACAACGGGTCTAATCATTTGACCAACGTATTTAATAACCATTTCGTCGGCAGCTATAGGCTCCATTGCAAATAATCCCCAGACATGTATTGCCGATTTTGCAAACTTAAGCTGCTTTTTCCGAAACTTGAGCTGATTTAATTTTAAAAGCTCGGATTCACGCATCGAACCAAAAGCAGTTAAAAGTCGGCGTTGGTTTGAGCGCGCTTCACGGGAGATTTCTTGCATTTTGGATATTAGCTTATTTTGGTGGTGATTGGTGAGTGCTGTAGGTTCATCGCTACGGTCTTCGTTATGGGAATCTTCTGTATTGGCTTTAGCATGATGGTACTTGTGTTTAGCCTTTTCTCGTAAATCTAATTTGTAAAAACCTTCAGTTCGAGCACATCCAGTTTTATGGCGCAATAGTTCGTCATCTTTCCTACGTTTTTTTTGTGGTGGAGGCCAAAAAGCTCGGTCGGTTGTACAGTGATCCACCCAATGGGTGTTGTTTAAAAACATACTAGAAAAAATGTAGCATATAATAAAATCTCAGCGTTCACTAAAAATCACTTACGCGTATGGCTCCTTTTGCAAATGGTCCGAGTAGCTCATTTTTATGAAGTTAATGTCTTCTGCATCGATGCCTTTAGTTAGGAAAGTGTATAAAATTACCATTTCCTCATTCTGGTCACGAGCTTTATACATCTCACAAGGTACAAAATTGGCTGTTTTTCGTGCCAACTCGGCTATAGCATCTGCAATTGGGGCTATTTTATTCTTCACATTAGGTATCCGCGGAATTGAATCTTTTTTTTTTCTTTGAGAGCGAATAGTATCCTTTCGAGGTCTGCCTGGACCTGACCTAGTCATTTGATCAACAATTATAATGTTAGCCGATTTTCGTTCCAACATAGAGTTACTATCCTTTAATGTTCCAGATGGAATACCGCCAAAGGGATCTGTCTGAGCGTGGGGCGGTAACGAATAGCAATGTTCCAGCGCAACCTGACTGGCCTGCGATGCTTGGCTGGAGCCACCGTCTGAAGATGCTGGTGATTAAGATATTTTGGTTTCGTTCTTTGAATTTTTGCACATTTGGTAACAACCATTTAAAACTACTTCACCATCATTCTTGGCGTCTGATTCGTTGTCCTTATCAGGTTCTATATTTATATTATAATTTAAACTTCTGAAGCCTAAATTAGCTTGCAAGGTAGATTTATCTTCATTCATATAAATTGGGGACTTTCTGCTGTTTGATATAGGATTAGACAATGGCAAGTTTTCATCCAAAACAATTTCAAACTTTTTCTCTTGTTCCTCTAAAAATTCTCTTTCAATTTGGGCCATGTATTCAGTATTCCTTCTTCTTTTTTCCTGGTACTCTCGCTCTTCTTCAGAATCGCTGTAAATTCTATTATAGTCAAAAACTGACTTTCGTTCACAATCATCTATCTTTTGAATGGCCTCTTCATTGTAGCCCGGTGGCGGTAAAGGTGTAAGAGAGCGACGAAACTCTTCATTTATTTTTGGCGTACTTTGTTGCTCTGATTCAAACGCGGGATCTATCTCGATTTCGCGCAATTCGCAGCAACTATCTTTACTTATATCTTCGAGATCAAAAGGAATAGATGACATTGTGTTTTCTTGTAACGCAGGCAACAAATTTTTCAATTTAGTATCTTCATTATCTTCCTCGGTATCGGAATAAATATTACTTTTTTTTGTGCGTTTCGTTATGTCGTTTTTCCTGTACTCATCAGAGTCTGATAACATGTTTCTTAGGTCAACACTTTCATTATCTCTTAAAACCCCTCGGCTTCTTTTCTTAATCTTTTTTTTCCGTTGATGCCGATTTTTTTGATTATGTTCGTCTTGAAGATCGTTTTCACTCGTTCCTTCCTTTTCATCACATTCGTTGCCTTCATACTCAGCTTCACTAGATGAGGATGGAGACGAAAAAAAGCTGGAAGCACTTTCTTTTCGTTTTGAATTTACATCAGAGTCATGGTTTGAAATTTCACTCTTTAAATTTGAGAGTGCTGTCGTATCAGAGCTGCCCATATTAGAATCTTCCTTTTCTGAGTCTGAACGTTGTATCATTTCCTCTTGGTCACTTAAATCTCTTTCAAAAAAAATTCCCGTGTCTGGAATTGGACTAGAGTGTTTTCTTATACGCCGAAACGATGGTAACTTGGGCATTGCCGCTCTTAATCTTATACTTGAGAACGTTTGAAAATCTGCGATTTCCCGTTGCGTATTAATTATATGACTAATGTCTGGAGGCTTCTCGTTATACGTAGTTTCTTTGAGGAAATTTGAAGTTGTTTGTAGGTTGAGGTCGAGATTTTAATTTGTGCTCCTCCCACCATGTCTCAAAATGTTTAAATGCCGTTATTTCAATCATGCGCTTATTTACATCTCTTTTTAAAATCTGCTTTAACTCTTCGACAATATAGTTTATAACCTTTTTTATCTTTAGGGGTACCTTATTATTCTGGTCCGAAACATTAATTATATAGTAGTCATAGGGCTCAGCAATCGAATCAAAATGAAATGACCCAACGCCTTTCAAGTAATCGGACTGTATGTAGGCGGCAAATCGGCTAGCAAAAGCAGAGTCCGGCGGTATACCGGAAGGATAATGTCCATAGCCAGAAGAATGGTAATAAAATTGATTTTGATCCGTTGAATTTGGATACATGTAAGACGACGGCACAATAGGTCTCTTATATTCCCCTTCTTCCAAAGTCAATACACTTTGGATAGGATCCTCATGGAAAGATAAACTCGATAAAGACATATTGTCATCAAGTTTTTCTTTTTCACTTGTAAAACTGTTTTTAGACCTGTCCTTCCTTATTATTATTTCCTAGTCACTTGATATATCACTTGCTCCATTGGGTTGTTGTAAAGCTTTCATATTCCTTACGTGCGACTTCATTTTCTTTTCGGACTTGTTTGAATCGGAATTATTTTCAAAAGACACATCCGCTTTTTTTTCTGTGTCCGAATCGCTACTATCCATTTGAAGAAATGGAATACTGATAAAATGTACATTTTTCCTATGGACAGATCCGACTGGGTTTCTACAGTTAAGAAACTAGACTCCCAGCCCACAGGCCTTTGATATAGCATGTTAATCAGATGTAAATATTGAGCCAACCAAAGAATCTTACACAGACAATGCACATTGGGAAGATCGCAAATCCACACCAAAAATATGGCTGTACATTCCGTTGAATGGTTATAACTTATCTTGTAGTCTACATTATATTTGCATAGACGAATTGGATAGTGATCCTAATTAAGAATATATATACTTTATGGGGTCGGAAACGCTTCCTTCTGCTTGTTACATACTTTCCGACGAATCTAGTATACTCTTTACTCTACGAGTAACGGATATAAATATATCGTGAAAAATACCACGGTAGGGGCACATAAAAGTGAATAAAAATATTACTTGTGCAGTGCAAACTTGTAAAAATGATTTTTTTTGTAAATTTTTGAATTTTTAACTTAGCTGGTTTCCCATTTAGAATAGTATAAAAACAAAATACTAAATAAATTCAAAGGAATTTTGTTTTCCAAAAACGTAATCAAATGTCTAAAAAAGGTACCTAACCTTTCCTCGAATGCATCCCTGCTATTTCTGAGTGATGCGATTTTATTGAGTTTTCTCTCTAAATGTAATTATTGACAGTATATAACTTGTTTTTAAATGACTTCAATTTTAAGATCGATTATAGTCATTTTAAGATTTAATTGAAATCTCAAACCATTTTAAATACACTTCTAAGCACGACAATTTAATTGAATTTAATTGGTTTTAATAAAAATGTTAAATTTGCTGTGAAAATGTAACTAAGAACTATTTTACTATTGTTTTTATTTACACTAGCACCCGTTTTAGATATAATATACAAACTTAAGTTACGGGATCCAAAATATTTAATTTATAATTGAAAATTCTTTAAATTAATATATCAATTAGCTTTAGTTAAGTGTACCCCGACATCCTTGAGCGCCACATAGGCAAGGTATTTTTTCTTCTTCCAATGGAAACTTATAATCGTAGGTAATTTCCTCGTTGATTTCAATTGGTTGCTTTGAATATATAACTATCTTCTTTTCAGACTCAATCGTAATGACCTTTGCATAGCAATTCGGCTGCAATCAGAAAAAAAATACATTAGTAAAACAATTACTATTAGAACCACGAATTCCTACATTGCAACTGTGATCTATAAAACTGCCAATTCCAATTGCTACAACAACGGGTCTAATCATTTGACCAATACGTTGGTCAATAACCATTTCGTCGGCAGCTATAGGCTCCATTGCAAATAATCCCCAGTCATGTATTGCCGATTTTGCAAACTAAAGCTGCTTTTTCCGAAACTTGAGCTGATTAAATTTTAAAAGCTCGGATTCACCCATCGAACCAAAAGCAGTTAAAAGTCGGCATTGGTTTGAGCGTGCTTCACGGAAATTCCTTGCATTTTGGATATTAGTTAATTATGGGGGTGATTGGTGAGTGCTGTAGGTTCATCGCTACGGTCTTCGTTATGGGAATCTTCTGTATTGGCTTAAGCATGATGGTACTTGTTTTTAGCCTGAAGTTAATGTCTTCTGCATCGATGCCTTTAGTTAGGAAAGTGTATAAAATTACCATTTCCTCATTCTGGTCACGAGCTTTATACATCTCACAAGGTACAAAATTGGCTGTTTTCCGTGCCAACTCGGCTATAGCATCTGCAATTGGGGCTATTTTATTCTTCACATTAGGTATCCGCGGAATTGAATCTTTTTTTTTTCTTTGAGAGCGAATAGTATCCTTTCGAGGTCTGCCTGGACCTGACCTAGTCATTTGATCAACAATTATAATGTTAGCCGATTTTCGTTCCAACATAGAGTTACTATCCTTTAATGTTCCAGATGAAATACCGCCAAAGGGAACTGCCTGACTGGCCTGAATAACAATGTTCCAGCGCAATCTGAATGGCCTGCGATGCTTGGCTAAGCCACCGTCTGAAGATGCTGGTGATTGAGATATTTTGTTTTCGTTCTTTGAATTTTCGCACATTTGGTAACAACTATTTAAAACTACTTCACCATCTTTCTTGGCGTCTGACTCGTTGTCCTTATCAGGTTCTATATTTCTATTATAATTTAAACTTCTGAAGCCTAAATTAGTTTGCAAGGTAGATTTATCTTCATTCAATTCAATTTAGTATCTTCATCGGTATCGGAATAAATATTACTTTTTTTTGTGCGTTTCGCTATGTCGTTTTTCCTGTACTCATCAGACTCTGAAAACATGTTTCTTAGATCAACATTTTCATTATCTCTTAAAACCCCTCGGCATCTTTTCTTAATCTTTTTTTTTCCGTTGATGCCGAGTTTTTTGATTATGTTCGTCTTGAAGATCGTTTTCACTCGTTCCTTCCTTTTCATCACATTCGTTGCCTTCATACTCAGCTTCACTAGATGAGGATGGAGACGAAAAAAAGCTGGAAGCACTTTCTTTTCGTTTTGAATTTACATCAGAGTCATGGTTTGAAATTTCACTCTTTAAATTTGAGAGTGCTGTCGTATCAGAGCTGCCCATATTAGAATCTTCCTTTTCTGAGTCTGAACGTTGTACCATTTCATCTTGGTCACTTAAATCTCTTTCCAAAAAAATTCCCGTGTCTGGAATTGGACTAGAGTGATTTCTTATACGCCGAAACGATGGTAACTTGAGCATTGCCGCTCTTAAACTTATACTTGAGAACGTTTGAAAATCTGCGATTTCCCGTTGCGTATTAATTATATGACTAATGTCTGCAGGCTTCTCGTTATACGTAGTTTCTTTGAGGAAATTTGAAGTTGTATTGTAGGTTGATTCTGCAATATCGGTTTTGGTCGAGATTTTAATGTGTGCTCGTCACACCATGTCTCAAAATATTTAAATGCCGTTATTTCAATCATGCGCTTACTTACATCTCTTTTTAAAATGCGCTGTAACTCTTCGGCAATATAGTTTATAACCTTTTATACCTTTAAGGGTATCTTATTATTCTGGTCCGAAACATTAATTATATGGTAGTCATAGGGCTCAGCAATCGAATCAAAATGAAATGACCCAACGCCTTTCAAGTAATCGGACTGTATGTAGGCGGCAAATCGGCTAGCAAAAGCAGAGTCCGGCGAGATACCGGAAGGATAATGTCCATAGCCAGAAGAATGGTAATAAAATTGATTTTGATCTGTTGAATTTGGATACATGTAAGACGACGGCACAATAGGTCTCTTATATTCCCCATCTTCCAAAGTCAATACACTTTGGATAGGATCCTCATGGGAAGATAAACATGATAAAGACGTATTGTCATCAAGTTTTTCTTTTTCACTTGTAAAACTGTTTTTAGACATTTCCTTCCTAATTAATATTTCCTCGTCCCTTGATATATCACTTGCTCCATTGGGTTGTTGTAAAGCTTTCATATTCCTTACGTGACTTGTTTGAATCGGAATTATTTTCAAAAGACACATCCGCTTTTTTATCTGTGTCCGTATCGCTACTATCCATTTGAAGAAATGGAATACTGATAAAATGTACATTTTTCCTATGGACAGGTCCGACTGGGTTTCTACAGTTAAGAAACTAGACTCCCAGCCCACATGCCTTTGATATAGCACGTTAATCAGATGTAAATATTGAGCCAACCAAAGAATCTTACACAGACAATGCACATTGGGAAGATCGCAAATCCACACCAAAAATATGGCTGTACATTCCGTTGAATGGTTATAACTCATCTTGTAGTCTACATTATATTTGCATAGACGAATTGGATAGTGATCCTAATTAAGAATATATATACTTTATGGGGTCGGAAACGCTTCCTTCTGCTTGTTACATACTTTCCGACGAATCTAGTATACTCTTTACTCTACGAGTAACGGATATAAATATATCGTGAAAAATACCACGGTAGGGGCACATAAAAGTGAATAAAAATATTACTTGTGCACTGTAAACTTGTAGAAATGATTTTTTTTTGTTAATTTTTCAATTTTTAACTTAGCTGGTTTCCCATTTAGAATAGTATAAAAACAAAATACTAAATAAATTCAAAGGAATTTTGTTTTCCAAAAACGTAATCAAATGTCTAAAAAAAGGTACCGAACCTTTCCTCGTATGCAATCCCTGCTACTTCTGAGTGATACGATTTTATTGAGTTTTCTCTCTAAATGTAATTATTTACAGTTTATAACTTGTTTTTAAATGACTTCAATTTTAAGATCGATATAATCATTTTAAAATTTAATTGAAAACTTAAAGCATTTTATATACACTTCTAAACTCGACGATTTAATTGAATTTTATTGGTTTAAATAAAAATGTTTAATTTGCTATGAAAATGTAACTAAGAACTATTTTACTATTGTTTTTATTTACACGAGCACCCGTTTTGGATATAATATACAAACTTAAGTTACGGGATCCAAAATATTTAATTTATAATTGAAAATTCTTTAAATTAATTTATAAATTAGCTTTAGTTAAGTGTACCCCGACATCCTTGAGCGCCACATAGGCAAGGTATTTTTTCTTCTTCCAATGGAAACTTATAGTCGTACGTAATTTCCTCGTTGATTCTAATTGGTTGCTTTGAATATATAACTATCTTCTTTTCAGACTCAATCGTAATGACCTTTGCATGGCAATTCGGCTGCAATCAGAAAAAAAGTACATTAGTAAAACAATTACTATTAGAACCACGAATTCTTACATTGCAACTGTGATTTATAAATCGTGCTAAGTTTCCACATTTAGTTGCATCGATAATAGTTTCCATGTCGATTCGAAACAAATAGGAACTGCCAATTCCAATTGCTTCGTACTTTGTTTCCCTCAGATCTGCAACAACGGGTCTAATCATTTGACCAACGTATTCAATAACCATTTCGTCGGCAGCTATAGGCTCCATTGCAAATAATCCCCAGACATGTATTGCCGATTTTGCAAACTTAAGCTGCTTTTTCCGAAACTTGAGCTGATTTAATTTTAAAAGCTCGGATTCACGCATCGAACCAAAAGCAGTTAAAAGTCGGCGTTGGTTTGAGCGCGCTTCACGGGAGATTTCTTGCATTTTGGATATTAGCTTATTTTGGTGGTGATTGGTGAGTGCTGTAGGTTCATCGCTACGGTCTTCGTTATGGGAATCTTCTGTATTGGCTTTAGCATGATGGTACTTGTGTTTAGCCTTTTCTCGTAAATCTAATTTGTAAAAACCTTCAGTTCGAGCACATCCAGTTTTATGGCGCAATAGTTCGTCATCTTTCCTACGTTTTTTTTGTGGTGGAGGCCAAAAAGCTCGGTCGGTTGTACAGTGATCCACCCAATGGGTGTTGTTTAAAAACATACTAGAAAAAATGTAGCATATAATAAAATCTCAGCGTTCACTAAAAATCACTTACGCGTATGGCTCCTTTTGCAAATGGTCCGAGTAGCTCATTTTTATGAAGTTAATGTCTTCTGCATCGATGCCTTTAGTTATGAAAGTGTATAAAATTACCATTTCCTCATTCTGGTCACGAGCTTTATACATCTCACAAGGTACAAAATTGGCTGTTTTTCGTGCCAACTCGGCTATAGCATCTGCAATTGGGGCTATTTTATTCTTCACATTAGGTATCCGCGGAATTGAATCTTTTTTTTTTCTTTGAGAGCGAATAGTATCCTTTCGAGGTCTGCCTGGACCTGACCTAGTCATTTGATCAACAATTATAATGTTAGCCGATTTTCGTTCCAACATAGAGTTACTATCCTTTAATGTTCCAGATGGAATACCGCCAAAGGGATCTGTCTGAGCGTGGGGCGGTAACGAATAGCAATGTTCCAGCGCAACCTGACTGGCCTGCGATGCTTGGCTGGAGCCACCGTCTGAAGATGCTGGTGATTAAGATATTTTGGTTTCGTTCTTTGAATTTTTGCACATTTGGTAACAACCATTTAAAACTACTTCACCATCTTTCTTGGCGTCTGATTCGTTGTCCTTATCAGGTTCTATATTTATATTATAATTTAAACTTCTGAAGCCTAAATTAGCTTGCAAGGTAGATTTATCTTCATTCATATAAATTGGGGACTTTCTGCTGTTTGATATAGGATTAGACAATGGCAAGTTTTCATCCAAAACAATTTCAAACTTTTTCTCTTGTTCCTCTAAAAATTCTCTTTCAATTTGGGCCATGTATTCAGTATTCCTTCTTCTTTTTTCCTGGTACTCTCGCTCTTCTTCAGAATCGCTGTAAATTCTATTATAGTCAAAAACTGACTTTCGTTCACAATCATCTATCTTTTGAATGGCCTCTTCATTGTAGCCCGGTGGCGGTAAAGGTGTAAGAGAGCGACGAAACTCTTCATTTATTTTTGGCGTACTTTGTTGCTCTGATTCAAACGCGGGATCTATCTCGATTTCGCGCAATTCGCAGCAACTATCTTTACTTATATCTTCGAGATCAGAAGGAATAGATGACATTGTGTTTTCTTGTAACGCAGGCAACAAATTTTTCAATTTAGTATCTTCATTATCTTCCTCGGTATCGGAATAAATATTACTTTTTTTTGTGCGTTTCGTTATGTCGTTTTTCCTGTACTCATCAGAGTCTGATAACATGTTTCTTAGGTCAACATTCAACATTTTCATTATCTCCTAAAACCCCTCGGCTTCTTTTCTTAATCTTTTTTTTCCGTTGATGCCGATTTTTTTGATTATGTTCGTCTTGAAGATCGTTTTCACTCGTTCCTTCCTTTTCATCACATTCGTTGCCTTCATACTCAGCTTCACTAGATGAGGATGGAGACGAAAAAAAGCTGGAAGCACTTTCTTTTCGTTTTGAATTTACATCAGAGTAATGGTTTGAAATTTCACTCTTTAAATTTGAGAGTGCTGTCGTATCAGAGCTGCCCATATTAGAATCTTCCTTTTCTGAGTCTGAACGTTGTACCATTTCCTCTTGGTCACTTAAATCTCTTTAAAAAAAAATTCCCGTGTCTGGAATTGGACTAGAGTGTTTTCTTATACGCCGAAACGATGGTAACTTGGGCATTGCCGCTCTTAATCTTATACTTGAGAACGTTTGAAAATCTGCGATTTCCCGTTGCGTATTAATTATATGACTAATGTCTGGAGGCTTCTCGTTATACGTAGTTTCTTTGAGGAAATTTGA